AGGCAGCCAATCGATGTTCTCTCTCATCAGTGTTTCCATCTCTCTCTCCCTCTTCCTTCCTCTCTCTCTCAAATCAATAAAGAAAAAAAAAATGCGAGCCCAACATTCTTACCACCGTTTCTTTTACTTGAACACCAAAAGAAATTTTTTAAGGAAGCTGGAGAATCAGCAAATCATCTTTACTGCTCACTTGGACTAGATTGCAATCCCCCACCCCAGTCCCAACTTCCACAGCAAGGGACCAAACTTACCAAGCTGGGACCGTAGGCAAACCACGTTACCTCTATGGGGCTCAGTTTTCCCATCTGTTAAATGGGGAGGCTTGTTCTTGACCTGTCTTCCTTGGATCCTGGCCTGGGACAGAGAGCAGGGTATAAGGAGTGACCGAGGAGTGACCATCGACTGTTGGCCAGCCCTCCGGCGGAGGTTCTCTGTCCCGCCTGTCCACCCAGGCCTGAGTCTCCTGCCCTCAGAGTCAGACCACCTTCAAGGAAAGATACTTCGAGGAGTGAGACTCTGTCTGGGTTCGCTCTGCAGCAGAGGAAATCAGAAAGAAGTCACACCCGGCCTGCTGCTTGATCTCAGGCAGGTAGCCAGCCTCTTGCAGCTGTCCCTGCCTCCCCATAAAATGAGGAATAAAACCAACCTCCTTCCAATCTCCCGGCCGGGGGGACTCGGCGGCGAAAGGAATATATCCAGAGGACAGAATGCCCACCGATAACTGTAATGTAAACACAACCCTGACCTCAGAGGCAGCCCCTTGCTACGTGGGCAGGGAGAGGATTTAGATCAGAGCTGGGGGACTGAGCCCCAGCTCCGGCATGTCCTGGCTGTGTGACAATGGGTTGGTTGCTTCACCTCTCTGAGCCTCAATTTGTAAAAGGGGGTGCCGACACTCAGCCTATCTACCTTTCAGCTGTGATCAGAAGGCCCGAGTGCGGGAAGCATGGAGAAAGCTTTGGGCAAACCGGAAAGCTCTCTCAGGTGCTGCTTAGGTCAGCTGTCGCTACCGAGCAGGGAGTGTGCCTGGCGCCGGGCCGAGCACTTCAGCCCGGCTACCTCACATCCACCCGCAAGGCCATTATCACAGACAGAGGCGTTGCAGATTAGGAAGCAGAGTTGAAAGCTCTGATCGAGGCGGTGCAGCTGAGACCTCCTTGAGCAGGAGGTTGGAACCCGACGGCCCATTCCTTCCCCTACATCAGAAGCCGTAATGAAGTGGGACACAGGAGGAGAGCCAGGCCCTGATGCAGTGATAACCCCCCCCCCCACCCCCTGAAAACACAAACAACGGCGGTGGCCTCCCAGGATTTTTTGGTTTGGTTTTTACTCTCCTGGAAGACACCCGAAGAAAGAGGAACCTGGGGCTGCCTGGAAGCCGCCGGGCCCAGAGCCGCGGCATTAGTTCCTCAGGAGCACCCTTACCCCTGCCCTTTCTGAGAAACTTCCAGCGGCTTCCTGGCTACCGGCAACCTGCCTTTGTCTGAAATCCGCTCAGGCTCCCTTCGCTGTCCCTGCTGTGGCCTTTCGCTCCCGCCCAGAGAATAGCAGGATGTTTATTGTTCTGATGGGAGGAAAACAGAAATAAACGCAGTCTGATGTTCTTTTTCTTTTTTTTAACCTTTCTTCTTTCTTTTTTATTTTTTTCCTTTTTATTGAATTGATTAGGGTGACCCCACCAGTGAACAGAATGATACAGGTTTCAGGTGCACAAGTCCTCAGCACATCATCGGGACACTGTACTGTGTGTGCACACCCAGGACAAGTCTCCTCTACCTTACGATAAAATCTGACTGCCGCCCTGGCCGGCTTGGCTCAGTGTTAGAGCGTCGGCCAGCAGAACAAAGAGTCGCGGGTTCGATTCCCACCAAGGGCATGTACCTCGGTTGCAGTTCATCCCCCGCCCTGCCCTGGTCGGGTTGTGCGGGAGGCAACCAATCGATGTGTTCTTCTCACATCGATGTTTCTCTCTCTCTCTCCCACCCACTCTATCTGAAGATAAATAGAAAAATATCCTCGGGTGAAGAGTAAAAAGAAGAAAATCTGAGTGCCCTACAGCAGCGCACCAGGCCCCCACGACCTGGCCTGGCCGGCCAGCCCGCTCACTACGCTTCTGCCAGGTGTGCTCCTTGAGTGCCAAGGCCAGGGACATTCCCACCCCAGGGCCTTTGCAGTTGTGGTTCCCGACTTCCCAGAACGCTCGGCTCCCAGGTCCTCATCTCGCCCACTTGTCATGTGGCTCAGGTGGAGCTCAAAAGGCGCCTCCTTCGAGAAACCTTCCTGGACTACCTGCTAGAGTTGACCCTGCCGGTCAGATATTGCCATGGTCCCCAAACTGGGGCCTCCCGAGCACAGAGCACAGAGCACGATCGCCTCTGGAATGACTGCTCACAGGTCCCGTTCTGCACCGTCATGGGTCTCAGCCCCTGGACACAGGACCCGGGAGAGGAAGTCTGTCTGAGCACAGGGCTTCCTCTGCAGCTGGGTGGCCGGGCTCCTCACAGGTGTCTTTGGAAGGGAAGGAGGAAGGGAAGACTTTGGCCAGCAATGCAGTGCAGCCTGGAACCGTGAGGACGTCCCAGCAGAGGGACCCGCGACACTTCACAAATGCCCCGAGTTATGGGCAGCCCTCTGACTGGGACATGAGGGGTTCTCTGGCTCCCCCGGGGAGCAAGAAGGGGTCTGTCCACTCTAGGCTTCCTACAGCAACATAGCCCCAAGGAAGGCCGGGCCCAAGGAGAGCCTGAAGCCCTAGTTAACCCCGCCAAAGCTAACACAGGCTTGGGGCGGGGGGGGGGCAGCCCCGAACCCAACCGCAGTTGTAATGTTTTTCTGGGAGAAGGTATTCTAGGCCCAATGCCGCTTCGGAAGGTCACCTGTTTGTAAGTCAGAGGGGCTAATTCTGCAGACCAAGGGAGGGCTCACCCTGGGCAAGTGGCCACTGGGCTGGACCAAGGACCGAGGCTGCCATAGAGCAAATAAGAGCCACGTGTCAGGTGGCATCTAAGGGAACCCCACAGCCCTGTCTGGTAGAGACTGAAACCCCCATTTCACAGATCAGGAAACTGAGCTTCAGGGAGATCAAGGCACATAACTGAGACCTCCCTGCCGCTAAGCGGCAGAGCGGGGGTTTGAACCCAAGGCCTGCCACACACTGTCTGCCCCCACCTCGCTCACGCCCAAAGGAAACCTGATTCTCTGGGTCCGCCCAGCAGGGTGCCAGGGTTTGCGCCCAGCAGGGGGTGCTGGCCCAGGACAAGGGGGCTGGGAGAGGGTGCAGGAGTCCCAGGTGGGCTCACCAGCTCCTCCTGAAGCCCGAGTAGCCATCCTTGAAGCTTTCAGATTCTCCCCTTGGCTTCCAGTCAAGCAGTACTGATATGTTTAAGGGCCTGTGCATCTGGGACCTGCCCCCACGCATCTGTCCCTGCCCCTCCCCCACCCCCACTTGTCCCCACTGTTCCGTGTTAGAGGACAGGGAGGACCAGGGAAGGGGCTGGAGAGGAGCAGCGGCCAGGAAACTGCAGCGGGAGGGCCGCCCTCACCTCTGCACCGTCATCATTTCTGTTCAGCCAACGGAGCAGTTCCCAGTGGCCATGGGACAGCGATGACCAAGACCACGTCCCGGGAGGGGTGGGAGCAGAGGGGCGCTCTGGAGATTCCGTCTCTTGCTCCATCTGAGGGGCAGGCCCTGGCCTCCGAGATTCTGAGAACCTAGAGCGGTCTCCCAGCTCCGAGGCTGCCGTGGGGAACGGCAGGTTTTCTCTGCGTGCAATAGCATCCGCAGGACATTTGTCACCCTGTCACTCCCGACGGCAACTGTTCAGGAAGAGGGGTGTGCGTGCGTGGGAGAAGGTCCCCTGTACCCTGAGGAGCAGGGTCCTGGTCCATCCGCCCACCAGAGGCTAAGAGGGCCCTGCCCCTGGTAGGGCAGGGATATTTGCCCTGGTCTCCCACTGACCACGCGGCAGGCTGTGGCTGTTCAGTGGTGAGGTCTGGAGTCCTGGGGAGCAAGGTCTGACCGTGGTCCCAGGTCTCCTTCACCCCACAGGGTGGTCACAGTCACGGGCCCAGGCTGGCTGCCCCAAATTGTCCCCGAGTGGTGACCACAAAGGCAGGCTGGCCCCTCCCAGCTCATAGGCTCACATTAAGCTCTTTGTCCTCCCCCGTCTCCCCCGCTGGGCATTCATACTGTCTGGGACCCCGTCCCCACCGCGGGGCGGCCTGGCCCAGTCCTTTCGCAAATACCCACAGGGAGCTTGGTGTAGAGCAGCTTTGTTCGGAACACCCCGAAGGCAGGGCTGCACCAGGGAGGGAGTTACATGGAGGAAGGTGAGGAAGAGCTTCCCTGTCCCCAGAGGCTGGGCAGAGGGGTGAGGAGGGGTCCCCTGTCCTCAGAGGCTCTCACAGACTCGGTCTCAGTGAGAGTCCCCTTAACCTTATGATGGTTTTTAAGGAACCTTATGCATTTTTAAAGGATCAGAAGTCCCAAGAAGGGCACGTGCACGAGGGAGTGCTCTTTTCATTAAGTGTGTGACCAAGTCCTCACGTCGAGGCAGCCTGACCCCTGCCCACTGGCGTGTGCTGTCCTCGGGCACCATAGAGTGGAGACACGGGTGTCGAGCTGCCCACACAGGCATGTTGGCAAATATCCTCTATCCCGTGTCAACTTCTGGTATAACCGCCTCTCTGGTGTCCCAGCCTCTCCAACTTTCCCCAAAACATCGGAGTGGTTTCAGAAACTACCCTGTGATTCCTGACGCAGCCCCAACTTCCTCCAGAGACGGGCAGGCTGGTGAGTAAACAGCAGCGTTCGGGCCTGGCTTCCAGCGGGTAATTCCAGGAGGCTCGGGGCGGCCTGAGCCTCGGCGCCCCGGCCGCTGGCCCCGTGCCTCCTGCCCACACGCCCCTTTCCAAGGCCACGGGCTTGCTCACACGAGTCTGAAAGCCGGGAGAGGTCGGCAGACGGAGCCTTCCTTAGTGTGAGGCGCAGACACTCCGAGCTGAGCGCAGAGCCCTGTGCAGCTCTGAGTCCGAGAGGAGGAGGATGCGGCCCTTCGACATCCACGTCCCAACAGGAGTGCGGAGCAAATGCAGCAGGAGGGCGGGACCGGGTGCCATCAGGACCCGTGTGTGTGTGTGGCAGAGCTGGGGAAGGGGCACCTTCATTCCCCAGGTCCGAGCGGGCAGTGCCCACCAAATGGGCAAGGGCCCAGAAGGGTCCCCAGTTCCTCCTGTGCGCAGGAGGCCCCGAGCAAAGCAGAGTTGGCCTTGACCAGGCGGCAGCTAGGGGACAGGGTCATTGACCAGGGTGGGCACCAAAGCTGCTGAGGGTCTGCAGACATCTGGGTCCCGAGACACCCCCTGCTGAGGGGACTCGTGGGAACATTCTGAGATGAGTGAGTTGATCCTAGGCTGTGGGCCCCCCGTGGGGGCTACAGGGCACGGACAGAGGCAGCACCAGGCGGGCCCCACTCCGCCCAAGCAGGGTTGGAGGCCAGGCTGAGCACGCACCAGGCGCAGGGCACAGAGCGCAGTGGTGGCGGCCAAGATGGGCCAGCCAACAGCACCCTGTCCCTCTACTTCCCTTTGACGGAAGAGAAACCACAGGCGCTGGCTCAGTGCCACAGGGAGCCACACTTACAGTGACTGGAAGGGGGGTTGGCATGGTAACAAGACCAGTGGGTATCTCTCCTGAGGCCCAGAGCAAGGGTAGAAGGCACGGGGTACGGGCTCACGGCCTCTGCTTCAAGTGGGCTCCAGCCCTGGCACAGTGTGTCCAATGCCCTGGGCTCTGAGCATCTTCTCGGTAGTAGCAGAAGGCACTGTGCGGTCCCTGCTGTCTGTCTGCTGCCCCAGCAAACACCGCCCTTCAGATCTAGCCTCTTGGTTGTCTCTACTGCACACCCACTAGGGTCAGAGTGGGGGGGCAGCTGGGGGGGATGCAGGTAGAACCCCTCCTGCATTGACCTCTGGATGCTGGAAACTCAGTTCAGCAGACAGCCCTCTGCCACCAGCTTGGTCCACTCGTGTTGCCTCGGGTCCCAGGAAGCACCCAGCTGCCCACTCAGCCCCAGCCCGGGCCAGGCCTCACTTCCCAGAGGCGGTCGTAGGCAAGGGGTCCGCCTTCCCTTCCTCCTCCACTGAGAACATGACATCCCTGCAGCTGCCCAGAGGTGGTTCTGTCTCCTGCTCCGGGTAGTGGGGGGCATGGTCCACTTCCAGATCCTCCTCGAGCTCGGGCTCCGCCGGCCCCGCCAGGCCCCGGCCCTCGGGCACCTCGGTCTTCACGGTCCCCACGATCACTGTGTCGGCCTTCATGATATAGATTTTCTCTGCAAAGCAGAAGGGTGGGCGAGGTGAGGAGACCAGACCCCCAAAGGATGGAAGCAAGGAGGCAGAGGAGGGTCCGAGTCCCAGCTCTGCCGCTCCTGCTGTGTGGCCTCAGGCAGATGGCACAACCTCTCTGATGCGTAGAAACTGGCCCTGCCAACCTTACAGCTTCGAACTGTATGCTGAGGGGTTAAAACTCAGCCCACTTGCTATCCATGGGAGATGCTTGCGATTGTCTCAGCACTTCTGCGAGGACAGGGTAGGGAAGGAGAAGACAGGGTTGGGAGAGAAAGCAAGTCACGGGGCAGAAGCAAGTAAAATCAGTAACAACAGCACCTTTGGTTGGCAACTGTAATTGAAAAGTAAAATAAAATAAGAAGAGCACCAGGGAACTCGAGTAGAGGTTAGCCGGTTCGGGATACTGTCCAACTTTAGCTCCTGAATCCTCTCATCCTTTCGGTCTGGTAAACAGTCTCTTATTATCCCTCAAGCCCAGAGAGGTTAAATGACCTGCACAAGGTCACCAGAAATCCCAACAGAAATTCCTGCCCCTCCCCCCCATTTCACTCTTCCGTGTGCCTAAAGCAGAAGCCTGGGGTGACCAACTTATTCCAGGTTGCCTGGGATGCTCCTGGTTTTAGCAGTGGAAGTCCCCCATCCCAGGAACCTCTTCAGTCCGGGCAAACCCAGACAGCTGGTCACACCCTGCAGAAGCCTCGGCCCCGTGAATAACACCAGCAGCCAGCATGGGGACAGCGGTGGGCAGTGCGTCCGGTGTTATCACCTGAGGCCTTCCTGGCTGTGCCCGCCTTGCTCGGAGCAGGGTGGCTTGTGTATGTCACTTGGATGAAGGACCAGCCCAGCCCATTAGAGGGGTGATTCCCTGGGTCCTCAACACTGTCTGCTTCAGGGGCTGCAGAGGCTCAGGGGGCTTAAGGAAGCTGTTAAGAAACTGGGGAGTGGGGAGCTTGGCCTCCACCCAGGTCAGCTGACTCCAGCATCAGCAGCCCCACTTCCTACGGCCTCAGGCTCAAGGCACAGTCCCAGCTCCCAGCCTCTGGCCAGGAATCTGGAGGCTTGAATGGGGAAGCTCAGGAGGGAACTTGAGAGCTGGGGTGGGGCAGGGGGCTCCGGATCCCCGCTTCTCTGGGTAACTGGTTACACCCCTCTGATTCAAGAACCTCCAAAACATTCTTGGGGCCCCTGTACCCTCAACCCCATTACATAACGCCCGCTCGTCTGTTTTGGTTTTAACACCCCCAGGAAAAAGAGAAGAAGTGATCAAAATAGCAGCAGGAACTAGAGAGAAGGCTGAGTGAGTGTGGGCTGGGGCCCCGTACCCCAAAAGAGAGAACAGGGCCTCAGGCCCCAGCCCACACCTTCATCAAGACCTGCAGGCCCCTTGCCCTGGGAGGTTAAGGAGGGCACAGAGGGGCTAGACCGAGCTAGAGGAGGTGAGAGAGAGAACGTAGGGGGTGGGTTGTCCAGGTGTAAGAGGCCAAAGTGGGGGGCTAGAGTATCATTCCCCTCACATTCCCTGGGTCCTGATTCCTCTGTCTCTGTCCCTCATTACAGGGCTGCCCAACCACCAGTCTGGAGGGGGAGGGTCTTCCAGAAGCTACTTGGACTTCCTGCCTCACCCCGGGCTTCAGAATCCAGGGCTGTCTAAGTGGGACGGGGTGAAGGTGGGGGAAGGTGGCCCTGCCTGGTGCCAGAGGTAGGGGGATAATGAAGCTCCGGCCAGAGCTTGGTTCCCCTTGGGGTGTTCTTCTGGGGTCGTGTCAGCAGGACAGGGGCTCATTGTCCCTTGGGTAACCCAAGAGAACCTCCAAGGCCTTCCCTCCCCACCACTCCAGTCACCAGCAAGGCTAGCAGGCTGGCTCGGCTCTGCGCCGCTGCCCACACCGCCGCCCACACGCCCACTCTCCTGGAGCCCGGCACCTGCCTCCACCACCCCTCGAGCATTCCCGGAGCCCCACCCTCAGGTTCCAGGCACTGAACTCAGCACGGGCTCAAAAGTCCAAATTAGGGCTTCTTAGGAAATCTGAAGAAGAAGCCTTCAGCGGTATTTCCCAAAATGCTATATTTAAAACAAATAATAGAACTTGCCAGAAGCTGCAATTCCAAAAGTTTCAGTTTGGTATGAAAGACTCTACCCTAAAGAGTTCTATCCACCGACACCTGCCCTCGAAACGTGTAGGACAACTACAAATGGCTCATTGGTATTATCTGAGTGATGGTTCACCCTCCAGAGAAGGCAGAGATGAGGCCTGCTGAGGCCCTGCCCCAGGGGCCTCACAGACAGGCGAGGGGACAGGGGACAGCCACAAACACAGTCACACTGCTCGGTGCTGAAGACACTGCATGGGGAGACCTATAGTCTGGGGAGCACAGCAGAGGTGCATCTAGTCTAGACGGGAGAGCGGAAAGTGCAAGGAAGGCTTCCTGGAGGAGGAGGCAAATAAGCAGGGTCTTAGGGACATCGGGAATTAGCTAGATTCAAGTGGGTGGAGCTGGCTGTCCCAGGGGAAGAAGCAGAATCCACAGAGGGGCTCAGAAGTGAGAGAGGGCTCGGTAAACTTAGGAAGACAGGAGGGGCAGGGGGCAGGGGCGCCCGGTGGAGAGAAGGCAACTGGCAACCAGGCCTGAAGGCCGGAATGGGAAGGCTGGCATTCCTCCCGGGGTAACAGGGCCGCCTGGAGGGTTTTAGGCAGGGTGTGACACAGAGCACGCAGTCCGGGAGAAGTGTTCCGGTGGCACCGGGAGGAGAGGACAGAGGAGGCATGAGGCTCGGCTGAGGCCAAAGCGGAAGGTGGGGGGGGGGGGGCAGCTGCACTTGGGAAGTGCTGGCCTCGGCGCCCGCAAGGCCCGGTGGTGGTGTGGTGGTGGTGTAGACAGACCAGGGGTTTCAGGGACCTGCGGACGGACGAGTCCCAGCCCTGCCACTTCGTAGCTGCGTGCCGGGGAAACCCCACCTCACCCACCCCCTGCCCACCCAGTTACCCAAGGTTTGGAAAGGGGAAGACGCCACCCGCAGAAGGTTGTGTGACACCAAGAGGTGGCGTTTGCGCAGTGTCAGGCAAGTGGCAGCTGTTGTCACGGTGCGTCTTCCTTCTGTCCCCCTCGGGGTTCTTGGTGGGGGCTGGGGGTGGTGTTCACTTTTCTGGGTCATAAAAGTGGGCACCAAGCAGGAGGCGCCCTTTCCCTCCACCCCATCCCACGAGTCAACTGCACGCGATTACCTGAGGGTCCTCACCCTGCCCCGCGCAGTCAGCGCCGCTTTGGCCCTCTCGCGGGCTGCCCGCTGCGCCAAGCAGTCTGACGCTTTCGCGAAAGCATCTCCTGCTTACGAGGGGTGATGGGAGCATCCATGCCTCTTCCTGGTGGGGCCTTCTGGGCCCGGGGTCTCTGGTTCCAGCTGGGGGCCCAGGGTCCTCTTAAGCCTGACCACACTAGGGACCCCAAACAAGCCGACTCACCGATCCTGTTGTTGGTATGCTCCGTGGTCACCCGGGGCTCAGGGAGGTCCCTGGGGGACGAGGGGCTCCCAGCTGGACTGGCACCCACCAGCGGCAGGCTCTCCAGGCAGGCTGCCCCCATGTTGGGGCTGGTCTCCACAGATGGGGGGCTCATTAACCCCAGAACTTCTGTGCAGGGCTGGGCTACCAGCACACTCCCCTTCCACTCCTGTGGGTGGACACAGAGGAGGCAGGTGCTGACGCGGGGTGCCCGACCTCCCCTCAGTCTCCAAATTGTGAAGCCCAGTTTCTCCATCTCTGTTCGCCCCAGCCAGTCCCCCTCTGCTTCCGAACCGCTACACACCACTGGGCTTCTCAGCCTCACGGTCTACACACCTGCGCCTCAGTTCTAGGAGAGGTCATGCCGCTTCTAACGTGGGCTAAATAATAGGATCGTGGCCAACACCATATGTGTGTCCCCCGCCACATATGTTAATCCTCACAGCTACCCCATGAGATGACTAACATTAGCACTCTCTCCATGTTACAGATCAGGAAACTGAGGCACAGAGGAGTCAAGTAACTTGCTCAGGTTAGTAGTAAGTGTCTGAGCCATTACTGGAACCCTGGTATCTGGCTGCAGAATCCACGCGAGTAAGGGCCAGTCAAAAAGTATCAGCTCCAGGCCACCCGACTGGAGTTCTGACCTCTGGGAATAGCAGCCGGTATGACTACACCAATGTATTCTAAAAATAGCCATATCTCAGGAAAGTGTGGGTTTAAGTTTTGACTTTAATAAGTACAGGCAAAGGAGAAGTAGTCTCTGGGAATGTTCTAGTGCCTAACATTTATTTATCTGCTGCCTTCAAAGTGGAATGAGTTTGAGTAATCCAGAAACTAAAGCCACATAATCCTGAATATTCTTTTATAGCAATTTGAAGTCCAAAAGACAGCATTTTAAAACAGTTTACTGTGAATGTGTTGGCCCAAGTAGCCAAAAGATATTTGATTATCTTACAAATCGCTGAATACCTTTCCCATGAAATGTCTCGGCATTGTACAGCAACTTGTCTGACAAGTGTATTTGAATGTGATCTCCCATAATTTGAAATTGAACTTGTATTGTGGTTCTGTCTATTATGTTTAAAAATTAAAGGATGGGAACCTTTCTCCATGTATAAATGTTGTGGGGTTTTTTGGGGTGTTTTTTGTTGTTGTTGTTTCTGGTTTTGCTTTTTAAAACTTCATTTCAACGTAACTGTGCTTAGAGAAATACACTCTTATTGGATAATAGAATGCAATTTAAGTTTAACTTATTCTACATGATTTAGACCACAAACTGGGTACATGGTTTAAACATTAAAAAGAAGAATGCATTGCCCTAGCCAGTTTGGCTCAGCGGTTAGAGTGTCGGCCCACAGACCAGAGAGTCCCGGGTTCAGTTCCCACTAAGGGCATGTACCTCAGCTGCAGTTTGTTCCCGGCCCCAGTTGGGGTCGTGTGGGTGGCAACCACTCGATGTGTCTCTCTCACATCAATGTTTCTCTCTCTCTCTTCCTCCCTCTCTCCCTCCCTATCTGAAGATAAATACAGAAAATGTCCTCAGGTGAGGATTAAAAAAAAAAAAGTGTGCCCTGGCCAGCGTGGCTCAGTCGGTCATCATCCTGTGCAACAAAAGGGTGCCAGTATGATCGCCAGTAGGGGGCGTGCAGGGGCCGATCGATGTTTTGTTCTCACATCAATGTTTCTCCCTCCCTTTCCCTTCTCTCTCTCTAAAAAAAAAAAAAATTTATATATATATATATATAAAATATATATATATATATGAATTTACAATCTGGTTTATTTTTCATCTATTACAAATGTATACAAAAGACCCTTCACCAAATGCTGCAAAGGCAGGCAGCAAGACTCTTGAGAAATTAACCTTTGGTTTGTCTCTGAAAAATAACACGTATTACACTTACAAGTTTATAGCACTGGTGCAACAAAACACTGTTGCGATGTTTCAGTGCCAGTTTGCAATCACTCATGAATGCTGAGCAGGGTGGGGAGAGCCCGTGCACACATGTGAACCTGTAAAAGCTGTTTTTAGTTAATATCACATGAAGATTGTTTATCTTCTATGCGTGAATGTTGGTGTTAAAAGAAAGTAATGACAGACATGACAAGTGAAAAAAAAAAAAAGGTGGGTGAACCATATACACCCGAGACCCAGCCACATGGAGAGTTTGGTCCTGCCACCTCCCTCAGCTCTGCAGGGCATTGCCCCAGCTCCTACTGCCCGCGCTGCCCCTGGGGGGCTGGGCACAGAGCAGGGCGCAAGGACAAGCCCAGCGAGGGCCTGTGTGCCGCCCCGTGCCGGGTGGTGCTAGGTCAGTGGTGACATCTGCACAGCGAGCTCTCCACGAAAGGCAGAAGAAGCTGGTCTTACTAGGAGGCAGCTCAGGGTGGCCGCTCAGAGCACGGCTTGGAGGCACCGATGGGGGCTCAGTCCTAGTAGATCTGCTTCCCAGCCATGAGCCCACCTTTTCTGCCTGGGCCCCTGTCTCCCCTTTGATGAAACGGGACAGCAGTACCAACCTCTGCGCGTCGCAAGGACCGCTCGAGATCGCGCCGAGAAGGCACACAGCGAGTGCCCGCGCGGTAAGGGCTCGAGGCGTGGTAGCTAAGTGGTAGCTAAGTTTTTAAAAAATCTCGCTACCCATTTGTCATCCCGGCTGCAAGGACAAGACTCGTGGAGGAGTGGAGAGAAAAAGGGAAAACAAACACAGGCTTCCTTGTGACCTGACCACACCTGGCACCCAACGCGGCCCAAACCAAATCCACGATCCTGCGGACTTTCTGGAAGTCCCCGGCAGGCTGAGCCAGGGCCCGCAGGCTGCTGCTGGGCGGCAGACTGCATTCTTGGGCTAGGGCTGGCCGAGGTCCCACCCTGCTCGGACCTCCCTGCATGGGCAGACCCAGCCTGAGCCCGCAGGGACCAGGCAGCTCTCAGCACCACTCTGTCGGGGAGTCAGATTTAGGGGCACCAAGCTGGGGGGAGGGAGCGGCTACTTACTGTGTGGGTCCTCTGGGGCCTAGAATCTGCAAAGAGGAAAAAAGTGACAAGGTCACTGAGGAGGGTCTGGCAGCCGCCGGGTCCCGCCCAGCCACATGTGGGAAAAGGCCTCCCCCTTGTTCTCCAGATGGTCAGTGAGGCCTCGGTCTGGAGAACAGTGGACAGGTTTCAGGGTTCGTGCCCACCCTGCCGGGCCAGGGTCACAGGGACTCACTTCCCAGGGCTTCTCCGGCACTGTCAGAGAACTGGGGACCACTCTCCTCCAGCCACTGAGCCAGTCGGCACACCGGACCCCAGCCCAGTCCACCTGCCCCGCCCCACACCCTAGAAGGGCTGGTTCAGGAAAGGCACCGTCCCGGGCTCCTCCTGCCTCAGAGAGGGTCATGGCAGCTGCCACCACCTGCAGCAGCAGAGTCCGGAGAGCCCAGAGCCCCCCAGGTCACTGTGCACAGCACTCGTGGGCCTCGAGACCGGGTGGCGGAGGGTGGATGACGGGCCTTGAGGACACTCTCTGAATCGTGTGTCAGGCGTGACCGAAGCCAGGGGATCCTGGAGCCCTGTTGGCTCGGGGCAGTCAGCTGCTTTTCTGTGCACTGGGCTTTAAAAAGCCCATGTGATCGGCTTGTTTCGCTTAGGACAACACTCTCCAAGTCCCTTCACGTCCTCTCAAAGGATAAGACAAATACCACGTGCTCTCACTTATTTGTGGAATAGAATGAACAAAACAAGCTGATGAACAAAATAGACCCAGAGGCATAGAAGTAGGGTACAGACCTCAGAAGAGGAGGTCGGGGGGAGGGAAGAGATAAACCACAGAACTTATATGCATGTATGTGCAAGCAATGGACATGGACAACAATGCTGGGGACGGGGGGGGGGGCGGTTGGGAGGAGGGTGTCAGTGGGGGAAAAAGGAGAAACATCTGTAACAAAAATAAATTAATTAAAATAAATAAATAAATAAAAAGCCCACGTGACCACCCTGGAGGCTAGCTGCTCACCTTCATCCCCTCTTTGCAACCCCACCCTTTGGTGGGCTCCGGGGGTGCCCATACAGTGGTTCCCAGGGCACGACCTTGATCTCCTCCCCAACCTCCACCCTCCACTCCAGTGTCTGTCCCCACTGAGTAGGTGCCAGGTCATGGCCAAGCATAAGTTGGCATTTTGCCAGGGTGCAGGCATTTGCTCTGGAGCAAATGCACCCCCCACACCCCCTTACCCCCGTGCAGACCATGCTTCAGGGCAGCCTTTCCGGACTCCCCAGGAGGCCGCCTGCAGAGGCTTGGAATATGCTGCTGTTAGGTGTGCACACCTGACCAGAGATATCTGCTCGAGATGCCCGCTGCCAGCTAGGTGTCCTCCAGAACATTCTGCCCAATTTCAGCAGCTCTGGGGAACCACCAGCCCTGAATCCTAGCTGAAAACTCACTGGAGGCCGACCAACCACAATAACACGAATAAGAAGGGCAGACAGCTATGTGGACACAAGGTCAGCTTGGGAAATTCTTTTTCATTGTCGTTGTTAATCCTCACCTGAGGATATTTTTCCACTGATTTTTAGATAGAGAGGGAGGGAGGGAGGGAGGGAGGGAGAAAGAGAGAAAAAAAAAAATATTCATGTGTGAGAGACACATCAATCGGTTGTCTCCCACTTGACCCCAACCAAGGATCAAACCCACAACCCAGGTATGTACCCTTGACCAGGAATCAAACCTGAGACCCCTCAGTCCATGGGCCAACACTCTAACCGCTGAGCCAAACTGGCCCGGGCTGGGAAACACTTTTACGTGTCCCCTTTAAATGCTCATCAACAGGTAGAAAGTGTCTAATGGGGAAATAGACCAGGAACAGCGATGAAAAGAAGCATGTGTTTAAAATGACTCAATTCTCGAGTCTGGATTTAACAAATCCATGGACGAGTGGATTTACACCACATTTACGAGTCTGGTAACTGCTGTTCCCAGCAGCGTGGTCACCTCGGGAGGCCGGGCTCGTTCCCATCAGGCGGCCACTGTCCGTTGCCCCAAGCGGCACTAGAAGAGGAATACTCTCTGCCTGAGGCACATTCTCTTAAATGACGTCAGTGAAGCTCAATTTCTGATCTTGGAGAGTGATTTTAACGTTTGCCAACAGCCAACTGTAATTTGGCACCAAGTCACTGGGATAGGGGGCAGAAGGGTAAGAAAATAACAAGACAAAATAAATAAAAATGATAAAACTCAGTCTTGGAGAGGACGCGGGTAAACAGGAACACAGCTGTCCGTGGCCTGTGCGTTGGTTTCATCTCTCCTTTGAGAGCCATCTGGCACTGAGAAATCTCACCCTCTGTGACCCAGTAATCCCTGTTCAGGGACACACCCTCAGGAAATAACCCAGAGAAACAAGGCTGTGCACAGCATGGCCTTGATCATCATAACCAAAGGCTGAAACAGGCCAGATGCCAAGCAGCCCTGGAGCCGAGCCTTCCTGGCAGCGAAACCCCAGTACCTCTTGCCCCCTCAGTCGCCTCATCTGGGAAATGGGATGCATCTCACGGACTCTGGAGGGTTTTATTTTTGCGGTTGTTGACTTTTAGAGAGAAACACTGATGTGAGAGAGACATCGGTCGGTTGCTTCTGCACGCGCCCTGACCATGAATCGAACCCGAAACCTGAGTATGTGCCCTGACTGGGAATTGAACCTGCCACCTTTTGGTGTATGGGATCACGCTCCGACCAGCTGAGCCACACAGGCCAAGGCGCTCTGGAGGGTTTTTATGAAGATTAAATGAGATCTTGAAAGTGAAGGTGCCCAGTGACCGATCACGCTGAGGGTACATCCTCTTGATAGGATGTCATAACAATGACCCAGTCCCTGTTCCATCTCCTACCCTAAGTCTCTAACGCCTGTTGAATCAGGACAAAAGCATCTGACAGATTCCAATAAAGGGCACCTTACAACCTAACTGAGCAGTCCTCCTCAAAACTGCCAAGGTTATCAAATACAAAGGTCAGAAACGTCACAGCCCGGAGAAGCCTACCGAGACATGACAACCCAACGTCATGTGGTGTCCTGGGTGGGCTCCTGAAACAGGAAACTGATGTCAGGTCAAAGCTAAGGACATCTGAGCATGTGCTTTGGTTAACAGCCCCGTCACGATACTGACTTGCTCGCTGTGACAAATGTATCCTTCTACTGCAAGATGTTACTAATAGAGGAACCTGGTGGGCGTAGATGGGGACCGTCTGGGTTATTGTCTCAACTTTTCTGTAAATCTACTCTAAAAAAATAAAGTCTATTTTTAAAATGTTAGCATCGCCCTGGCCAGTGTGACTCAGTGGTTGCAGTGCCAGCCAGTTCACCAAGGGGTTGTGGGTTTGATTCCCTGTCAAGGGCACACACGTGCGTTGCAGGTCCAATCCCTGGCCCCTGTTGGGTTGCCAGCAGGAGACAACCAATCGATGTGTCTCTCTCACATGGATGTTTCTCTCTCTTGCTCTCTCTCTTTCTCTCCACCCTTGCTCCCTTCCACTCTTTCCAAACAATAAAATAAAATATAAAATAAAATACAAAATCAATGGCAAAAAACATCCTTGGGTGGGGATTAACAACAACACAAATTCTTTTTACTATTTTAGCATTACAGAGGGAAGGTACCCAGAACACTGCCTGGCGTGCAGTGGTCCCAGGACGCTGGCAAGCTATGACAACAAAGAGAAAACCAGCATTCGATACTGTCTCACAGACAAGCACAACGTAACATCCAGGTGAACAGGCAGAATCCAGAAGATGCCAACATCTGCCTCCAGCTGAGTGACAGCCCCCACGTGCACCTGATAAAGACTCAGAACAAACAGTGCCAGTGCAGAGGTCAGTTTTGTAAGAGCTTTTCCCCTAAAATGGTTGCTTCAGTCCCTTTGCTTATTGGTGTCATTGCTTTTAGAATAACTATGATCTCCTTGTGAACACATCCAGTACCCCAGGCCAGGAGTCCAGGGACATGCTGGGCCTCGGTGACCCTGCTGGATCCCAGGCGGTGCGGGGTGGTCAGACTTGAGTCATCGATCCCTCCCACCCCCCTCGCTCTCCCTGTCGGTCCCCTCCCCTCTCCAGCCTGAGGTCCCAGCTGCTGGGGGAAGTGGAACAGACCCAGGGGAAGTGTTTGGCACAGAGGTTCAGCCGGGCTTTGGCCACCGGCACACCTCGATGAAAAGTCTGGGCTCCTTGGAGAGGTGGCGGGCTCCAGGGTGGGGGCAGGAAAGTGCAAGCTACGCTGGCAACATCTCAGAGTAAAGAAAAGCTCCAAACACAAACGGATGGGGGCAAAAGGACACAGGACCCAGCTTGAAGTGGCCGCCTGTGGCCTCACTGGGGACAATTTGAACATCCAACTAAATAACGACGGCAGCAGAATGAAACAGGAATGCATGAGTCAGCTACAAACATAAATGAAGAAAAGGAAAGTCTGATGAGGAGCAGGTTATTTAAACAGCTTCCAAGGAGCTCCCCTCATAAGACTTAGCAGTGACCCAGGAGAAACGAGAAGCTTCAGGGTGGAAGAACCTGGCAGCCACCACCTTGACCAAGTGTTCAAGGTGAACGCCACCAGCAAAGGGACCAAACGAAACCCAGGAGGGTGGGTGCTACCAAGAAGAGCTCAGCATCCCTCCTGGGTTCTTCCCCCCAAACATCCACCACTGAATCCAGCGGCAGGAAAACATCGGTCAAAGCCAAGGTCAGGGACATCTACAAAATCACTGAGGCGATCTCCAAAGTGGCTAACCTGAAGGAAGAGACAGGAACTGACCCAGAACCACGGAGACAGGACAACCAAATGCAACAGGAGATTGTGGACTGAATTCCCTTGCTATGAAGGACATTATTGGGGGAAATGGAGAATGGGAATGGGAACTGAGAGGTCATTGGTGGCAATGAATCAAGGGGAATCCTCTGGTTTTGATGGTTTTACTAGGGTTGCATAAAAATGTGCCTTATTTGTATGACATACACATGGAAGAGTCAGAGGTAACAGTCACTAAGCCAGTAACTTACTCTCAAATGCACCAGGGAAAATAAGTTCTTTGTACTGTGCTTGTGACTTCTGTAAATTTCCAAACAAGAAATTTTTTTTCAAAGTAAACCTGCCTGAATTAACTGACAAAGTAACGACTTTAGTGCCCATTAAAATGAAGGATTAAAAAAATTTTAATCAGCCCTTGCCGGTTTGGCTCAGTGGTTAGCCTGTTGGCCCTCGGACCAATGAGTTGTGGGTTCGATTCCGGTCAAAGGCGTGGACCTCGGTTGCGGTTGGGGTTGTGCAAGAGGCAACCAGTTGATGTGTTTCTTTCACATCAATGTTTCTCTCTCCCCCCCTTCTTCCCACTCTTTCTGAAGATAAATAGAAAAATATCTTTGGGTGAGGGTTAAAAAAAAAATTTATCAGTATTTCTCAACCAGGAGTGATCTTCCCCCCAGGGGACAGGTGGCAATGTCAGACATTTTCAGTTGTCACAGCTGGGAGGTGCTGCTGGGATCTGGTGGGTAGCATGACACCTTCCAAGGCGCAGGACAGTCTGGTCCCAAACATCAACAGTGCAAGGGTGTGAGAACTTTTTTTTTACAAAAACCTCACCACCAACAATAACGACAAAATCCCCGTCTTGCTGCTTTTAACCATGGGGCCTTAAACCAGTTCCCTCACCTTCCTGAGCCTCGGGTCCCTGGCCTGTGAAACTGAGATGATGACAGTGGGTGCCCCCCGAGGATGCTGGCAGGGGCAAGAGGAGGTCTCAGGTGTGCTTTGTGAATGCTGGCCACCAAAGACGCGTGTCACACAGTCAAATCAACTAAGAGCTGATCAGTGAGCATCTAATGGACACCCACCCAGATCTCCAATGTGCTGGCCACGTCAGGCACCATGCCCTCCCCAGCCCTGGAGCTCCAAGAGGGGAAGGACTGGGGTGCACATTCCCATGCTGCCCACCTGTAGTCCCTTTGAGCCACTAACACTGGTCTAACAGCTCAGGAGGGCGAGGAGGCTCCTGTACTCAGCACAGAGCCAGTGGGAATCACCCAACGACCGATCTGAATGCACGAATGCGCGAACAAATGAATGAACGTCTCCTTTCCTGCAGCACTGGAGGCTCCCTCCAGAGGGAACGGGGCATTCACCCTGCTCAGTCCGTGCTCAGCCTGTGCCCTGCATCCTGACCCAGGCCTCGCCTCCTTCCATCTCACGCCTGGGGACCCAGACGCCCAGGCGCCCCCCGGAAGCCAGAGGGCCAGAACCCGCCGCCACTGAGTCTCGGGGCTCGGGCTTCCTTGCAGGTCTGGCTTCTTGAGGCAAGGTGCTTTTTTGCTCTCTCTTTCTCTTCTTTCTGTGTGTGACAAAACTGCTATCACCAAGGTTCGAAGAAGAAAAAAATAAACTGACGGCAATGGAAATTCTAATACTAGAAAAATGTCAAGAAAGCAAACACGGGTTTCAATGAGACACTGAGCCTGACAGCTCATGGAAAAAGGCTTGAAACTATCAAAACACAAAAACCCCCCTTGCGGAGGGAACACTAGCACCTGTTTGTGAAACTCATCAAATTCAAAACATGCCTCAGTGGACTGTGTTTTTCGTGCCCAAGTCAGAAGTTGGGCTACAGCCAGGCTCTCCAGGGGTCCTGGGGGTGGGGGCAAGGAGGCCGAGCCCCGGCCTGGGGCCGACCTGGGTGGGAATGGGGTGGACGAAGCTTGGGGGGCACAAGGCAGAGGGGACGGCACTGAGCCCTTTACAAACAGAACAATCTCAAGGACCAGCGGCTGAGCCCGGCAGAGGCACTTACAAGGACATGCGGTCCTTACAGAAGGAAGACCAGCACCCGCCTCCCCTGGGGTCCTGGGCCAGGACACCCTCTAGGGGAGGGAGCCTGCCCTGAAACCAGAAAGGAGAGCTCAGACCATTCCTATCTGCTCCTTCCTCTGGGGTCAGGGCCCGCAGCAGAGTGCAGCAGAAGACCTTGCCGTGACAGGGCTGCTCAGGAGAGGACACTGGGCACAAGGTGTCGGGGAACCGCGCCTCCCACCCCAGATGACAGCCAGAAGAGAGCGGCTGCCTGGATGAGCGGGGAGGACGGGGCCTGCGGAGGGATCCCTGGAGGAGTTGGCCTGGAGGCTGGGCAGGGATCAGAGAGCAAGGACCAGGGAAGGGTTCGGAACAACTCAGAACTGAGGAAGGCCCGGGATTCCTAGGAAGGAACAAGGCCCAGAGGCAGGTCAGCAATCAGCAGCCCTGTCCACACGCACAGACCGCCTGCAGGCTCTGCACGGCGCTTAGCAGGCCCCGCTCCCTTCCTCCATGCACCCACCTCTGAAGTAGGTCCCACTGTCCCCATTTCACAGATGAGGAACCTAGGACATGGCGGAATGAAGTCACCCACCCAAAGTGTAGCTGGTAAGTGGCGGGACCAGATTCCACACCATCAGCCTGCCCTTCTGACCCCTGTGCCCCCCGGATGCCAGTGGAGAGAGGGGCAGGAGGCATGGGGAGGAAGGAAGGAACTGGGAGGCTGGGAAGGAGGGAGAGAGAGAAGGGAGGAGGGAGGGCATTCGGGGCACTGCAGAGGGGGGGCTTAGTGGGTTCGCACAGCTTCATGCCAGCACCCCATTCACACCGCATAGTACCGTTTCCACCCACTTTACACATGAGGTCACACAGAGAGGAGCAGCTTGCGGGAAGCCATCCAGAGGGAGCCTCAAACGCAGGGCCCAGAGCTGCTGCGTGTCTGCGCGGACATCTGACGATCATGTACTTACCCACAGGCTCGGGCATGAGCTGGAAGGTCTGGACTGGGTAGCACAGGTGCAGCTCTGAAAAGACATCAGCAGGAGGCCTGGAGGTGCGACCACAGGGAGCCTCTGCGGGCGGGGCAGGGACCCAGGCCAGGCCAGCGCGGAGCACCCGCCCCCCCCAGCCCCTCGGCCACATCCACTCACTCTGCCGAATCCACTTCCAGCAGGCCTTCCGGTGGTACAGGAGGAAGGAGCTGGTGCCCATGACCACCACCAGCACCACAATCGCCCAGAAGAGCACAGACCCTGGAACACAGAGGTGGTCCTGCACTCCCCTCCTAATGCTGGGGGCCCCCAGAGTCAACCTCGCGGTGGTGAGCCAGGAGCCCTGCTGCAATCACACAGCCCAGGTCTGTCTCCACGTGGCTGCCCAGACCCGGTCCCCTCCCAAGCCAGGACTAAAACCAGACACTGTAGTTCAGCCCTTACCCACTTGTCCTCCCTCACCTGGCTCCAGGAAGCCCATCAGGGTGGCTCTTTTCCCCACTAAAGAGCAAACCATTTCTAGAGGATGGGAAATGGAGTCAAGGGGCCAGAACAAAGGAGTTGAGGTCCAAAAGGACAAAGTCTGGGGACGGTGGAGGCACATGTCACATGCGTCCCCTCTAGACTGGAAGCTCCATGAAGGCAGGCGTGTATTCTGCTCCTCACATAAACACGTTCAGCTCTATGCCGTGGGCACCATTACCATCTCCATTTTACAAAGGAGGGAAACTGAGGCTCTCCAAGGTTAAGTAACTTGGTCAAGGTCACCCTGAGGGTAAAGGGCAGAATCTCAGCTCAGGCTGGGCCAGGGGGGACTCCAGTGCCCACGTGCTAACATGCTATCTGGGTATGTTTCTTTACATCTTAGTACTTAACGTGCCTCCTTTTCTCTTACGTCACTTAAGAAGATGGTGTTAACTAGTTACTGTTTCTAGTGCATTTTTAGATGCTAAAAAGTAATTTGTGCCAGATAAGTGCTTCTCAAACTGGAATGTGCAGAGGAACCTCCTGGGGAACCACATTAAAATCAGACTCGATTCTGTAGGGTTGGGGTGGGGCCCATAATTTGTTTTTCTAACAAGTTGCTGATGCTGCAAGTTCAGGATCACAGTGAGAACCAAGGGCCTGAGAACCACCGCCACCTAGTGCCCAATACTAGAACTGCAGGCCCTGGAATGAACCGCACTTAGAAAGAACGTCTTGCAAGAAGCTGGTGATGAGCTGCTACTACCCTGCGTGGTACCTACTGTTAACTTTACACGGAAAAAAACTGGGGCTCAAAGGCATTAAGCAAGTAGTCAAGGTCATAAAATCATTCACCAAATGCTTTCTGAGTAGCGATTATGGGCCATGGGGAGGAAGCTATGAATGAAATCCCTACTCATGAGAATTAAGAAATAATCTCTAGCGAGAGACAGAGCCCCAGTCCGAGAAGCCAGACACCCAGAGCCCAGCTTGGTCCCTCCGCCCAGTGAATGCCACAGACTGGGGAGAAGCTTCTCTCCTTCTGCCCACCTGGGAGGTGGTCACTACCTGAAACCAGGATGGTTCTTCCAGAGGAGGAGAAGGAGACGGGGGCACTTGTTGAGATGGACGCGTCCCACCGGGCGTGGGTGGCACCCCCTCCACGCCCCTCACTGGCCTGGGAGTCTGCGGGGGAGATCCAGGAGGGGCTGGTACTGCAGGCAGAGAAGACAAAGGTGAGACTGACCATGGAGATGGAAGGGAGGGTGCGCTCAGGAATACCCCCCTTTCCCTGGAGATCGTGGGGGCGGGACCTGGGTCCCCAGATCCTCTGCCTGCGTCTGCCAGGCAGTCCAAGGGCAGGGACTAGATTTCTAGGCTTTCTGGCTTGGTGCCAGCACAGAGCTGGGCACACATTCTTCAAAATGATTTGCAGGCTTGGCACAGAGATCCAGCCAGGGCCCCGCCACCATTCCCAGTTGTTCCCCCAGAAGGGGCCACAGAGTCACCTGGCAGGCACCTCGCTGTCCTCCGGGTTGGTGCTGCAGTTTAGATGGGTCCCGGGGTTAGATGGCTCATAGGTGGTATCCTTCTCAGCTTTACCTGCGAAGAGTGGTCTTAAGAGTCAGTGCCAAGGAGCCTTAACCAGCAGGGACTGGTGACCTCCAGGGTGGCAGCACAGCAGGGCCAGAAGGACATTGCAGCCAGGCAGGTTTGTGTCCTGGCTCTGTCTCCTCCCTTCCTCTCTGCATCCCTCCCTCCTTCCTTCCCTCCATGCAGCAATTCTTTTTTTCTTTTTTTAGTCCTCACCCGAGGACATTTTTGCATTTGTCTTCAGACAGAGCAGGAGGGAGAGAGAGAGGAAGAGAGAGAAAGAAACATCAATGTGAGAGAGACACATCGAGTGGTTGCCACCCACACGACCCCAACCGGGGCCGGGGACAAACTGCAACCGAGGTATGTGCTCTTAGCAGGAACTGAAACCCGGGACTCTCTGGTCCACAGGCCGACACTCGAACCGCTGAGCCAAACCTGCCAGGACGTGCAACAATTCTTTGTTGCACACCTACTATGTAACAAGGATTGTGCTGGGAGCTCGGATGTAGCTAGGAGTAAAATACTCTAGATCCCCACCCTCAGGGACTCGCAGGCTTGTGTGTTCATAGACGTGACTCAGGTGTCAGACAAGGGCACGGGAGGTCCCGGAAACATGGGACTCAACATTGCCAGAACAGAAGGCTGCCCCAGAAGGGGATCACTGGGATGAGTGAGGATGGGGGCCTCTAAGCAGAGGAAATAGAAGGTGGGAGGCCCAGAGGTGGGGAGAGAGGAGAGCACATTGGAGACACTGGAGGGAGGCCAGAGCGGCTGGGGTGTGGCCCCATGAATACAGTCAGGTCTCTCGTACACACTTGTTCACAGCGTGTGCTTCCTAGCGGTCAAAGACGTGGAAGCAGCCACAGCCCATCAGCTGGTGAATGGCTGGACAGAATGGAGTACGTCTGGCCCTGGCCAGTTTGGCTCAGTGGTTAGAGCGTCGGTCTGCGGTCCAGAGACCCGGGTTCGGTTCCCGCTAAGGGCACGTACCTCGGTTGCAGTTTGTCCCCAGCCCTGGTTGGTCATGCAGGTGGCAGCCACTCGATGTGTCCCTTTCACATCGATGTTTCTCTCTCTCTCTCTCTCTCTCTCTGCGTCTCTCTCCCTCCCACTCTATCTGAACAAAAAATGGGGGAAAAAAAAAAAAGAATGGAGTACGTCTGCACACTGGAATGTCGTTTGGCAATAAAAGGAACACAGTAGTGACACCTGCTAGAGCGTGGATGGACCTCACATGTGTTATGTACGGTGAAAGAAGCTGACACGGAAGAACACGTTCTGAAAATGTCCCGAGAGCTCTAACCTAGAGGGACAGGAGTAGATTAGTGGTCTCCGTGCTGGGGATGGGGGGGGGGGGGGCGGGTGGCTACCAGCGGGCACGAGGTTTCTTGGATCATGGTGTTAACCTGAAAATAAAAGGCCAAAGTAAGAGCAACAAGCTTTTATTTAGGTTCACAAGAAATGCTATTTGGGAAGCACTGATTCAGACAGAAACCCAAACAGTGTTCTGATTAAGAAGCAAAGGCAGGGGTGTTTATGAGAAAGGGAAGGGGAACGATTACATCAGTGGAAGGAATGTTACATCAATAGAATGTCGAGTACATCCACAGAAGGAAGGCATTCCTACAGGTGCAGATAAAAGAACACACTGATGTCCATTCTAAAGAATGGTTTTAATTGTCAGTCCCGTAGTCACCAGTCCGGTAGTCATAATACCTGCTTTCGTGCTATCTTTGCAGAGTTCTTTGGGACACGAGGCTGCTTAGGCCCAGTCCAGAGAAGAATTTGTCTAGTGCTAACATTCCAAAGGTAGGAAGCACAGGACAAGCAAGGCAGGTGCTCTGGGCGGGCAGCTCCAGCCCCATTTTAAAATGGCTGTGTGTGTGTGTGTGTGTGTGTGTATTTACAGTGGTGAGAGTTCCGCAATGCTGCAAATTTCTTACAAATCATGGAATTGTACATGCAAAATAAATAGATTTTATAGCATAGAAATTATACCTCAATAAAGCTGCATTATTATTATTATTATTTTTTAATCCTCTCCCAAGGATATTTTTCTATTTATCTTCAGATAGAGTGAGAGGGAGGGAGAGAAAGAGAGAGAAACATCTATTGGTTGTCTCCTGCACAACCCCAACCAGGGCCAGGGACCAAACCGCACCGAGGTAGATGCCCTTGACCAGAATTGAACCCATGACTCTTTGGTCCACAGGCCGACACTCTAACCGCTGAGCCAAACCAGCCAGACAAAGCTGTTTTTGAAAAGCAAGTCTTAAATGGGGACATCCGTAATAGCGTCAACAATAAAAATAAAAAAAGAAGTAAAAATAAAAATCAAGTCTTTCTCCCCAAAGCAATGATTTTCATTAGCAATGGGATGGGGTCAGTGTGGTAGGCTGTACTATGGGTCCACCTCCTCACCCTGCCCCATATCCACACCCTTCTCCAGGTTACTCTGCAGTTCCTCCAAGTCCAGGCAGGTGTCTGTGTCCCGGTCCCCCCGATGCCTGACCTTGGTCATATGACTTGTCTGGTCAGTGGGGCGGGATGGAAGTGACTGTGAGCCTGTTCCCAGCCTGGGCCTTCAGAGGCATCGGTTCCTCCACTCACCGCTTCTTCCGCCTCTGCCATGAGGAGACCGTGTGGGGTGGGGGTAGCCAGTCCCCACCGTCTCCCAGGGGTATGAGAAACACACAGGGCGAACCCAAACCAAACCTGGGAGCCCAGGCAAGACAGCAAAGCCGCCCAGCTGACCCACGAAGGAGAGAGGAACTCTGAAATGTGAGGTTGTTTGTAACACACTGCTCCTGCTGCTACAGCTGGTGAGACAATCAGGTGTGTGTTTCAAAGATCAGAGCGGGAAAGGTTCTCCTCATCTCCAGCCAACTGTGATCATGGAGGAAAGTGGCCTGGAGAAATCTAGACCTTCTGACTTATTTAAGACAAGCCTGATAAACAAATATAAATAAAGACATTTAAATATCTCCTGATATTTAAAGGTCGTCTCAATTTCTAAAGTTCTTTTCTTTTGCAATCAACTTTATTGAGGCATAATTTATATAGAAAAGAATTCCCCCTAAGTGTATAGTTTGGTGAGGTTTGAAGAATGTCTATGTCCCTGTAACTATAACTCCATTCAAGATCTAGAACAATTAACTTGATAACCACATAAACAAAATGAAAGACAAAAATCATATCAATAGATGAAAAAGCATTTGACAAAATCCAACATCCATTTTTATAAAAGTTCTCAGCAAAGTGGGGGTAGAAGGAACATACCTCAACATAACAAAGGCCATATATCGCAAACCCTAACATCAGAGTCAACGGTGAAAAGCTGAAATATTTTTATTTAATATCAGAAACAAGAAGGATGTCCACTTTCACCACTTTTATTCAACATAGTATTGGAAGTCCCAGCCACAGCAATCAGACAAGAAAAGAAATAAAAGACATCTAAATTGGAAAGGAAAAAGTAAAACTTATTATTTGCAGATGACATAACTCTATAGAGAGAGAACCTAAAGATTACACCAAAAAAACCTATTAGAACTAACAAATGAATCCTGTAAAGTAGCAGGATACAAAATTAATATTAAAAATCTGTTGCATTTTATACACCAATAACAAACTGTCAGAAAGAGAAACAAAAAAAAATCCCATTTACAATTACATCAAAAAGAATAAAATACCTAGGAATAAATTTAACCAATGAGGTAAAAGATCTCTACTCAGAAAACTATAAGAAACTGAAGAAGATGCAAATAATGAAAGGCTATGCCATGCTTATAAGTAGACAGAATTAACATAATTAAAATGACCATACTACCAAAAACAATACAGATTCAATGAAATCCCTATCAAAATGCCAATTTTTTCACATTTTTCACAGAATTAGAACAAATGATCCTAAAATTGATATGGAACCAAATAGCCAGAGCAATCTTAAATAAGAACAAAGTTGGAGGTATCGCGCTACCTGATATCAAAACTATACTACCCCCGAAGAGGCAGGAAACAGGAGGGCCCCAAGAAAAAAGAGGAGAAGAAACTCGGCAGTGGACCTGAAGAGGGCTGGTAGCAACAAAGAAAAAGAAAAAGCTCCAAAAGCCATCCCAGGAAGATTAGAATGGACAGTAGCCTGGTGGGTATACCACCCACAGTGACCCATCTATATCCCAATAAAAACAAATTCACAAGGAAAAAATTATATTGCAAGGCTACAGTAATCAAAACAGCATAGTACTGGCATAAAGACAGACATATAGATCAATGAAACAGAATACAGAGCCCAGAAATAAACTCACAGCTAGATGGTCAATTAAACTATAACAAAAGAGGCAAGAATATACAGTGAAGTAAAGACAGTCTCTTCAATAAGTGGTATTGGGAAAACTGGACAGACACATGCAAAAGAATGAAACTGGAGCACTTCTGTACACCATATCCAAGAACGAACTCAAAATAAATGAGAGTTAAATGTAAGACCTGAAACCATACAACTACTAGAAGAAGATGTAGGCAGTAAACTCTTTGACATGACTCTTAGTAATGTTTTTTAGATATGTTTCCTTTGGCAAGGAAAACAAAAAACTAAATAAATAAATGGGACTACACCAAACTAAAAATTTTGCTTAATGAAGGAAATCATCAACACACACACACAAAAAAACAACCTACTGAATGGGAAATGACATCCATCAATGATACATCCAATAAGGGGTTAATATCCAAAATACATAAGGAACTCATACAACTTAACACCCAAAAGACAGACAATCCGATAAGAAAAAAATGGGCAGAGGACCTGAATAGACATTTCTCCAAAGAGGACATACAGACGGCCAATAAACATATGAAAAGATGTTCAACATCATTAACCAGGGAAATGCAAATTAAACTACAATGAGATATCACCTTACACCTATCACAATGGCCATCATCAATAAATCAACAAACAACTTTTGATGAGGATGTGGAGAAAGGGGAATTCTTATGCACTGTTGCTGGGATTGAAAGTGGTGCAGCCACTATGGAAAACAATATGAAAGTTCCTCAAAAAATTAAAAATAGAACTACCATATGACTCAGCAACTACTTCTGGGTATTTACCCAAAGAAACCAAAACACTACTTAAAAAACACCTCTATGTTCATCGAAGCATTATTTACAATAGCCAAGCCATGGAAGCAACCTAAGTGTCCATCAATAGATGAATGGATAAAGAAGCTGTGAATATAATGAAATATTATTCAACCATAAAGAAGAATGAAATCTTGCCATTTGCAACAAAATGGATGGAACTTGAGGAAATTATGCTAAGTGAAATAAGTCAAAGAAAGACAAATGCCATGTGATTTCACTTGTGTGTGGAAGCTAAAAGACAAACTAAGTGAACAAACAAAATAGAAAGAAACTCATAGATGCAGAGAACAAACTGATGGTTGCTCCATGGAAGAGGGGTTGTGGGGCTGGGTGAAAAAGGGGAAGGGTTTAAGAAGTATAAGTCGCCACTTATAAAAAGTCATGGGGATGTAAAATACAGCATAGGGAATATGGTCAATAATATTGTAATAACTGTGAATGGTGTCAGGTGGGCACTAGACGTATCAAAGTGATCATTTTGTAAGTTATAAAAATGTCTAATCACTGTGTTGCACACCTGAAACCAATATAATATTGCATGCCAACTGCAATTGAAATTTTAAAATAAATAAATAAACAGAGGTACATCTAGTATGTCTAGGGTATGGGTAGTTTTCATTCATGCTGCTTTGCCTTTGGTACGTACTTTCATTCTGTGAAATATGAAGTCTCATATTTTTCAGGTCAGGCATTCAGGGAAATTTGGGCACCACTGTGGGTACAAGGCCAGGAGCACCCAGTGACCATGTTGGGAAGGGCTGCAAGAAGACCCAAGGCTGGTAGGGAGCGCACAGAGGAAATTACAGCACTCCTGTTGACATAAGGCTTGAAGTGCATCCATGTCCCTGTTAGGAAGGCCACACCAAGGTGGTCACCAGGCCTAAGCTAGAGCTGTGAGGTCCACTCTGGGTGCACTGCTGGGGCAGGGCACCACCTGATGTCCCCACCCACATGCCCTGCTGCAGACAGACTGTTCTGCAGCAGGAGCAACAAAAAACAAATGCAGCCAAGCGATGTCTCTTTCCTCCACAATGGCCCCCAGTACTCTCTACTGGTAAAGCTTAATGCCACGCCACAAGGAGAAATACTTGAAGAGTCCAATCCTTTATAGCAGAGCAGGTCCTGAAGGGTGAATTGGGAGCTGAGAGGCAATTGATGGATAACAAGCACACTCTCTCGTCCTCTGTTCTTTTACTGTTCCTTTTTCATAGCATTCTGTTCTCACTTTGTGGATGTAACAACTCCTTGAATTTTTCTGTGGACATATTTAAAACTTTTTAAAGTTCTCTTCTATTCCTAGGTTTATCATTGTTTCAACTGTAGTTAAGTTTTCCTGTTTGTGTATCTTGTTATTCTCTGGTTTTTCCTTGAAGGCTGAAAATCTTTACTGCTCATTCATATTATTTAAAAAGGACTGTGCTGAATTCCAATAGCTAGTGGGGTTTCTTCTGTTGTGACGTTAGTATGTCCTTTTCCCAACAGGTCTCTTCCCAGAGTAGAGGGTCTACCTGGACACTCTGGGCCTGAGGGTGGGACGTGTAAGTTGGCTGTCTTCCCCTCGGCGACAGAGCAGTGATATCCGGTACACAGGGCGTACTCCCAACTACACAAATGGGCGTCACACCAGAGTGGCAGCACCACACGGTGAGCCCTGGCTTCCCATAGAGAACCCTTCAGTGTCTTTAGCCAAAAAGTTGGTTATTTTCACCAGGACATAAACCCAGGCACCATCTGTTCAGTCTGGTCAGTGCCCACGGTATAACATTGTTACAGATTTTTTTTAAATTGTGTTTTCAAGATGAAGTTACACTTTGCAATTGTCCATTCACTCCCATCCTTCATTTTACTCGCTTGCTCTAAGCCTAGAGCCTCTCTGGGTGGGGGTGGCGGGTGGGGGTGGGGTCTCACAAGCAAGTTACCCCTCACTGTTCCCTCAGCCCTCACGGAGTGAATTCTCCACTTGCTTTCACCTGTCACTGTTCTTCCATCTGCTTTCTGCTTTCTAGAAACGTGTTGAAATTTCTCAGCTGCCGCTGAATCTGTTTTGTTGTATGTTTGGTTTTTTCCAATGTCAGGGTTTGTACATTTCTGTTCTGGCAAATGTCCACCGGCTTGACGTGGAAGCCGCTTCATAAACTTCATACTCCTCTGTCTTGAGTCAATAAAACAGCCTTGCAAACAAGTCAAGATTTTACCCGCCCAACAATTTCAGGAAGAAGAATTATTTTTAATCATCGTTAGGACCTCTTACCAAAATGACCAATTTGGATGCCATGCCGCTCACTGGGTCTAACTAGGCAAAGAAAATACAAAGCCCAACCGTGACCTAGTTAACAATGAGGGTTAAAGGTCATTTGCCCTGTGGGGATGGGAGAGGCACAGCTGTGGGACACAGACCTCAGCCCTCGGGTAGGGGTGCAACTGCTCACCCTGGAGTTTGGTGGCCACCTCCGGGTCGATGATGGGGCAGGCGGTGCAGCGGGCGCAGGAGTTGGTGGCCGATGTGACACAGAACATTCCAGGTCGACATTCGCAGACCCGCGAGGAATTCCACGTGCAAGGTGTCTTCTCCACGAGGTCACCTAAGGGACACAGAGAAGGGAAGAGTCAGGGATGGCAAGGGCAGGGGGTGCAGAGAGCCCCCAGGAGGGCAGAGATGCGTCTGCCCAGAAGCTCTCTGTGGCACGCTCAGTATGATCACATTGAGGAGAAGGCAGACGAGCAAGGAGCACATACTATGTGATTCCCTGTCTAGAAAATGCAGCGCACACCACAGTGACAGAAGGCAGAGTGACGGGCTGGGCACGCAGTCGGAGCGGGTGTGGGAGGGAGGACAGGAACACGAGGAACCTTTGGTGGGTGACAGACAGTTTCTTACCTTCACTGTGGTGATTTCACAGAAGCACACACTTGTCAAAACTGATCAAATTGCACACTTAATTTTGTATTTTTATTTTTAAATATTTTTTCTTTATTGATTTTAGAGAGAGAGAGCTAGAAACATTGATGAGAGAGAACATCAACTGGCCGCCTCCTGCATGCCCCCCTCCCACTGGGGATCAGGCCCCCAACCTGGGCATGTGTCCTGATCAGGAATCGAACCAGCGACCTCTTGGTGCATGGGTCAATGCTCAACCACTGAGCCACACCGGCTGGGCGTAAATTGCACACTTTAAACGTGCATTTTCCTATACATCAACTATATCGTAATAAAACCGTTAGAGTAATCCAGAGGACAGGGTGGCTGGACCCGGGAATCGATGACCCAAGACTGACCGCGACTTGACAGTCTGACTCCGGGGCATAGTCCACAACCACTCCTGATCGCCTCTACTTCTGAATAGGCTCGGCATTGTCAATGATAAAAAGGTTCTTCTCCAAAATCGAGAAATAAAACGTCCGAGGTTCTACAGCAGAGAAGGTATACGGATGCACTTAAATACCTTTGGAGATATTCTGCTCTATTTACGTGAAAACAGTCACCACATCAGCAGGTGCGACAAAGTGGCTGGCTCAGTAAGAACACTTCTCCGGGGCGCAGTACTGAGAGACCTCGCACGACAAAGGTGAGGGCCCGCACCGTCTCTTCCTGCAGCCTCCAGAGAGAGCAGGAACGGGAGGTGGGGGGAGTTTGTGCAGAGGGCAACAGTGGGCTCAGCCATGAGTGAGCTGACCTGGGATGATGACAGCTACTGTCTTACTATGGTTATTAACATAACCGCCTGTGTGCAAGGCAGTATTCTTTTTTTTTTAATTCCTCGCCCGAGGATAGTTTTCCACTTATTATCAGATAGAGTGGGACGGAAGGAGAAAAACAGAAACATTGATGTGATAGAGCCACATCGACTGGTTGCCTCCCATGTGACCCGACCAGGGCCGGGGATGAACCACAGCCGAGGTACGTGCCCTTGATCAGAATCAAACCTGTGACTCATTGGTCCGCGGGCCGACGCTTCGAACGCTGAGCCAAACCAGCCAGGGCTCAAGGCAGTTTTCTTAACATTCCACCCAATTAATTCAGTTTAACCAATTTCATTCCCACAACAACTCTCTGAGATAGTACTATTATTATGCCCATTTTACAGATGAGGAAACGGAGGCACAGAGCGGTTAAGAAGCTTGCTGGACTTTCTAAGCCACCAAGTGGTAGAACCGAGGTTTGAACCCTGGCACTCGGGCTCCAGAACCCATGCTCTTAGCCCCTCGATGCCTCACAGGGCTTCACTCCCAAAAGTTAAAGCAGTTCTTGGGCGCAGAGCCAACTGATATGACTGTGACAGATTATGTTTTTCCTCAAAATGGCCAAAGCCATCCTGGCCCCATCTGCTCTCCCAGAGCTCTGGCGCTCACCTACCATGACACTCGATTCTTTCCTCCCCTGGACTCAAGCGGGATCTGGGACCACGTCAACAGGGACAAAGTGGTGGAAGACAGCGAATAATTTCCAAGTCTAGGTCAAAAAAGGGATGTGGCTTCTCTGCTCCTCCCCCAACCCCATTCTTGGAATCCAGCCTCCAGGCCAAAGTGAGCCACACAGAGGCCAATATGGAGAGGCCTCAGGCCCGCGGTGGCAGCTGGCATCGACCCTCAGATACATCCACAAATAAGCTTTCAGCTGATTCCAGCCTCCAGCCTTGGAGTTTTCCAACTGAGACCCCAGGCACCATGGAGCAGAGACCAGCTGTCCGTCAATGTCCTGTCTGAATTCTGACCCCCTGAACCCATGAGGACAATGAGGAGTTTGGTTTTTTGCCACTGAGTTTTGAGTTTTGAGAAAATGTGCTACGCTGCCCTAGTTACAGAAACAGTGGCCCCAGTGACAACAGACTGTTCTTTCCTGTTTGGTCCCCCTTGACTCTGGTGTGGGCTGCTGCACGGCAAAAACCCCAGACGAGGAGCCAGCAACACGCGTCCCCCGTGGCCTCTGCGAGTGGGCGGGGCTGCGCACGTGCATGGAAGCCTGCATCCTGGGTCACTTCCCCTGTTCCGTGTGGCCCTCATGGAAGTCACAGGGCAGCCATGAGGCTGTGGTGAGCTGAACACAGAGAAAACACCGGTGGGATGACAGCCTGCTGGGCACACACCAGTCACCCACTGTTGGCTCAAGGAGGCAGCGCAGTGGAGGGACCAGAGCCCCGAACCTGGTGGCAGACACCCTGCGTTCAAACTCCAGCCCTGCCGCTCTCGAGAGCTTGTGGCCTTTGGAAGTCCTCTGACTTCCCAAAGCCTCGGCTTCCTCTTCTGTAAAGTGAGGACAATGACAATCGTACGTCATAGTGATGAAGATAACGGGACAAGGCGGGACAGAGAGGTGATTCCACGTGTTCCTTGCAGGAGAGAGTGAGTGAATGGAGGCTCTCTGAAAAGGGGTCACCGCCATCAAGACCCCACAACCTGGATGGTTCAGCTCAAAACACCACAAAGCTGAACCAGGCCCCGAGGGCTGAGCAGTCCAACACCAAACTCAGGGCTCCCCACCCCAGCTTCTCAGTCTCTCCTGCGAGACCCCCAACCCCCAGGCCCTGGAAGGAGCCTGCGGAGGGACCAGGCTCTTACCTCCTGAGCAGCTCACACAGGCCGTGCAGCGGCCATCCCTGTCCAAGTAGTAGTCCGGCTCACACTGCTTCCTGCAGTCAGCGGACCCCAGAGGGCACAGGTGCTGCGGGGACAACCCTGGGAAAAGAAGCAGAGAGGGTCCAGGCCAGGCCACCTTGGCAGGGGCCTCACCTCCCCACAATCACTGAAGCCCCCCAACTCCCAAAGTCTACACGTGTCAGATCCAACCCCCAGAGAGGGAAGGCCTGTCTAAGGCCACACAGGAGAAGAGCTCTGAGTCCCCTTGTACATTTGTTCCCCGCACCACGATCCACGATTTCCACTGTGCCAGAGCCCCCTCTCCATGCTCACTGCTACCCCACCACCCTCCTCAAAGCTTTGCAAGCCACTTCTCCTTTGAGATCAGCAATGAGGCTGGGATGCCTACTATTACAACTTCTATTCAGCATGGTACAGGGATCGTAGGCAATGCAATAAGGCAAGAAAAAGAAATAAAAAGTGGTAAGGTTTAGAAAGGAAGATAAAAATCTGTTATAGACAGACGATAACAGTGAGTACACAGATAATCCCAAAGAATCTGCAGATACAGTATTAGGATAAGTGAATTAGCAAGGTGGTTAAATACAACGTTACTATATCAGAGTCAATTAAATGTCTGCATGTTTGGGTTAAACCACATGAAACTGCTGTTTTGGCAGGTCAGCCAGTCAAATGCTGGCAATTCCATAGGGTTTAAAAAGAGTCAGAACATGACATATTGAAAAAGATAATGTGGCCCTGGCCGGTTTGGCTCAGCGATTAGAGCGTTGGCCTGTGGTCTGGAGAGACCCGGGTTCGGTTCCCGCTAAGGGCACATATCTTGGTTGCAGTTTGTCCCCGGCCCTGACTGGGTCGTGTGGGTGGCGACCACTCGATGTGTCCCTTTTACATTGATGTTTCTCTCTCTCTCTACCTCCCTCCCACTCTATCTGAACAAAATATCAAAAAATGTCCTCGGGTGAGGATAAAAAAAAAAAAAAGGAAAAGATAATGTGTGCATCATCATCAGAAATATCAGATACCTAGTAATCTAACAAAAAGATGTAAATATCTCTACATAGAGAACAGACACATTACTGGGAGACTTGGAAGAAGGCCTAGATAATGTGGGGCATGTCATATGCTCAGCACTGTCACAACGTGGATTCTCTCCAAACCGATCCACAGCTTCCATGCAACCCCAGTCAGAATCCCACCAGGACACTCTGTGGAATTTGAAAAGTCGATTCTAGCATATAGGTAGAAATGTAAATTACTTGAATGGTCAATACTGTACACTGTTGAAGAACAGAGTTGAAGAAGTTGTCCTACCATCCAGGGAGACTTAATGAAAAGTTACAGGAATTAAGACAGGATGGTATTCACGCAGAATAGACAAAAAGACCCATGGAACAGAATACAAAGTCCAGAGTCATACCCACACATACGTGGACTTTTCGAAATTTTTTTTTTCTTTATTGATTTTAGAGAGAGAAGAAGAGAGAGGAAGAGAGAGATAGAAACATCGATGAGAGAGAACACTGACTGGCTGCCTCCAGCAAGTCCCCCCCACTGGGGATCAGGCCCACAACCTGGGCATGTGTCCTGGCCGGGAATCGAACTGGTAACCTCTTAGTGCATGGGTCAATGCTCAACCCCTGAGCCACACCAGTCGGGCTACATGGACTTTTGATTTACAACAAAGCTGGCATGCAGAACCATGGAAAAGGACAATCTGCTTGCTAAATGGTGTTGGTTCACCCGGATATCCATGAGGACCCCTGCACATGACCACCACCTCACACCGTACACATAAGCCAAGGTGGAGGAAAGACTTACAAAAGCAGAACATAAAAAGCACCGCCCTGGCATGTGTGGCTCAGTGGTTAAAGGGTCAGCCCATGTGCCAAAGAGTCACGAATTCCATTCCCGGCACGTAGCCAGGTTGCAGGGAGCGCGTGCGGGGGGCAGCCGATCAATGTTTCTCTCCACCACCCCCGCTGCCTCCTTCCCTCCCTTCCACACTCCCTAAAATATCCTTGGGTGAGGATTAACAACAACAAAAAAGAACATCAAATGCACTAGTCACAAAGGAAAAGACAGCTCAATCTGACTACATTAAAATTAAGAACATCCCTTCATGGAAAGACACCGGGAAGGGGATGAGAAGGCAAGCCGCAGGATGGGAGAGCATATCTGAGCATTACTAAGGGACAAAGGGCTCAGAATCCAGCATGATAAGAAGTCCTAGAAAAAAGAAATGAAAAAATGCATTCACACAAAGGCTTGTTTTTCACTCTTCATTGTCGCCAAAAAGTGCAAACAACCCAATTAGCCAAAACCTACTTGGATAAGCAAACGGTGGCGCGCCCATACAATGGAAGGCTACTTAGCAATCAACAGGAGAGAACTGGGAGCCCCTACCGGTCGCCATGGGAAGCAGGGGGGCAGCGAACCCACCCCTGCAGAGGCTCGCCTGCCACAGAGTCTGGCACCCAGGAGGCGCTCAGAACTGTCATTAAACGAGTGAGGGCTCCCCTTATCTGCTCAGGCCCGCAGTGCCTTCAGCCTCTTCTCCCGCACTGGGGAGGACCCCAGCCCGGCGCCCACCTGCCCAGACCACCACACACTGGTCCCCCGCCAATCAGACACCGTTGCTATAGGAAACAGCCTACAGCTTCTCTGGAGAAAGTACCTGGATCCAGACTGGGCTTCCCCTCCGAGGAGAGAGAGTTGGGAGCCCTCATCATTTTGGCATCATCTTCTGGGGCGCGGGGAGTGTCCTCTCCAAGAAGCATGGTCCTGGCACGGGAGCTGGCTGAGGTCGGGATGGGCATGGCCTGCGGAGAGGTGCCACTGGGGGAAAAGCCAGAGATGAAACAGACAATTCTGCTGCTGGGACAAGGGAGGTGCTCAAGGATAAGCGTTTCTACAGAAGGAGTCCCCAGACCCTCTGCCCACAGTCTGGCAGGCCCCGTTTTCTAGGCCGTCTGGGTCTCCTGTGCCGTCAGGGCAGACAGGGCACACAATGTCCTTAAGTGACCTGCAGAGATGCACCCTGGAGCCTGACACCTTGTGCTGAACCCCACCTGTACCCCCAGCCCAGCTATGGTCCAGGCATCCTGTAAGGTGAGACAGCCCCACTCGGAGGTCAGCTGGATGGGAGAGAGCTGGGAGTCACCTGGCAGGTGCCTTGCAGTCCTCCGGGCTGGTGCCACAGTCAGGGCTGGCCCCTGGGGAAGGTGACTCACAGATGGTGTCCCTCTCCGCTGTGCCTGCAGGGGGACACATGCCTTTAGATTTGGTATCAAAGAGTCTGAAGACTCCAGGAATAGACTTTTACCATCACAAACCAGAGTCTTGGATGGGCACTTGGAAAACACCATCTGGTATTTGCACCTGCCCAGCCTCCGTGCCCCCTTGGGGTAAAGCAGACTGATTTTCCTCAAGGAATCTCTCTCCCTAATCTCAGGCTCTGTGTTTAGGGCTGGGACTGACTGACTGTCTCCCTTCCCTTTCAGGAGTAGCCACAGGACCAGGCTGGACCAATCAATCCACTGCATTCCTCTGGCCATGATGGATTGGCTCAGGGGTGGACACATGACCCAAGCCATGCCTATGAGATGCAATTTCAAGGTTTTGTTTTTTATTGGAAATGTAGGAAGGAGACGCTATCTTTCCACTGGGCTTGGGTAGGAAGCAAGCCTGGAGCTGCTGGTAAGGGAGTAGAGATGAGAGATAGGAAAAGACAGAGCTCCTTGATCCAGCCATCCCTGAAGCTACCTGGAGCTATCCCCAGACTTGTGAGTTACATGAGCCAAAAAATTTGAGATTTTGTTGCTTGCAACCCAGAGTCCTGAAGACTATCCTGGGTGGAAGCTGAGTGGAGAGGAAAACGTACAGCATTTGCCATCAAGTGCCGCCTGTATCACACTAGCTGCGCCAGGCAAGTCAAACTGTTATTATAACAAAACAGTCTTCACAAGGCTGCTGTGAGGATAAACAGACACCGCACCTAATGTGTCTGCCGCGTGGTGTGACATACAGCAAATGCCCAGTAAATAGTCTGTCCTTTTCCTCATCTGGACTCTCGTCTCGTCACTTAGAACATGACCCACTTGTGTGGGATGCGATCTGAAGGTTTCAGTGGAGGTAGGTGTGAACAAGGCCAACTTCTCCCGTGTCTGCAGGGCGGTGGGGCGGCTTTCGAACCCTAGCTTGGATGTCCTCTGCTTTGTGGTCCTGAGCAATCTGCCTGCTGTCCCCGGACCTCAGTGTCTTCACCTATCAAATGGGACCAGTACAGCCTGCCTGGTGGGGTTTTGTGAGTGTCAGGAACGAGAGCCTATGCAAGCTCTGAGCACGGGGCTTAGCCAGGAGCTGACTCTACCGCAGAAACTACTTTCCACTTCGCAGCTGGAGACAGACCCTGAGAGCTGCCCCGTGGGAGAGTTCACCCGGGAATCTGGACGTTAGCCAGGGTTTGGCAGCCAAAGGTGGGAGTGTCCGAAGTGGTACTGTTCAATAGGAATATGATATGACTCACACAGGCCATTTTAAATTTTCTAGTAGCCACATTAAAAAAACTAAAAAGAGCCCTGGCCAGTTTGGCTCAGCGGTTAGAGCGTCGGCCCGCAGACCAATAAGTCTCGGGTTTGATTCCGGTCAAGGGCGTGTGCCTCAGTTGTGATTCGTCCCCAGCCCTGGTTGGGGTCATGCGGGAGACAGCCACTCGATGTGTCCCTTTCACGTCGATGTTTCTCTCTCTCTCTTCCTCTCTCTCCATCCCACTCTATCTGAACAAAAATGGGGGGGGGGGATGTCCTCAGGTGAGGATCAAAATAATAATAATAACAATAGAAAGTAAAAAGAGCCCGGCCAGTGTGGCTCAGAGGTTGAGCACCAAGAGGTCGCCAGTTCGATTCCCAGTCAGGGCACATGCCCAGGTTGTGAGCCAAATTTCCAGTGGGGGGCATGCAGGAGGCGGCCAATCAATGTTCTCTCTCATCAATGTTTTTATCTCTTTCTCCCTCTCCCTTCCTCTCTCTCTAAAGCCAATAAAGAAAAATATTCTTTTTAACTTTTTTTTTTCTTTCTTTATTGATTTTAGAGAGAAAGAGGAAGGGAGAGGGAGAGAGAAACATCGATGACAGAGAACATTGGCTGGCTGCCTCCTGCATGCCCCCCACTGTTAATAAATAAATAATTAAAAAGAGTAAAAGGAAACCTGTGGAATTAATTGTATTTATTTAACTCAATGGATCTAAAATATTGTGTCAGCAGGTAATTGATATAAAAAAATAATGAGTCTTTTAGACTAAGTATTTGAAATCCAGTGCATATTCTATACTGACATTGTATCTCTATGCCGCCCGACACTTTGTACGTGCTTGGGCAGTGGGTCTAGGGGCAGCAGAGAGGACTCTGGCGCCACTGTGTGGCAGTCACAGGAAATCACCGGGAAAATCACACCAGCCCCAGCTGGTCGCGCATCCCACTTGGAACAACTGAAGTCAAGGTATTTGACAGGTGGGGAGACTGAGGCCCAGACGGCAGTGGGAACACCCCCACAAATGCACAGCTGTACTAACTCTCAGGGATCGGGTACTCGGTCCACAGTGCTCTCCACTCCACCACCCTGCCCCCGCTGCGGGTGCCGGGCTTCTGCGTGTCCCTTAGCAGAGTGTTCTGCTGGGCCCAGCTCAAGGCTGAGTAGGAGTTAACAAAGTGAATGGGGAGGGCAGGGTGTCCCAGACAGAGAGAACAGCATGTGCAAAGGCCTGGGGCATGGAACTAAAAACAGACAAAGCAGGTAAAGCCCAGAGAGTGAGGCGCGGAGGCTGGAGGAAGGAGGGGCCACGCCACGTGGGAAAGGACGAGAAACATCTCGTCCTCGAGACTCTGCTTCCCAGAAGATGGAGTGGACGCACCTTTCCCTACTGCTCCCACTAGGCACGGCACAAACACTCTGAGAGGTGGAGAGGAAGAGGCAGAGGGCGAGGGGCCTCGGGCCCCAGGAACAACACAGTGGGGAGTCCCCTGGACTTTCTCTTTGCTTTGCATATCCCAGACTGGGAGCCCAATAAGCCGGCAACCCAGAAATGCCCAAGTGCGGAGGCTTTTTTTTTTTTTTTTTAAAAAGTCCCTTAAAACGCCTGTTTTCTTTATCAAAGGATCGTGTCCTTATCATCAGAGTAAAAGGAAGATACAAAATGTTTTAGGCAGGTGTGTGTGAGAGACACACACACACACACACACACACACAATCTGATTTGGTTTTGCAAGGGAGGTTCTGGCTTGTCTGCCATGGGGAGAAGTTAGGGGTGCGGCAGGAGGGAGAATTGAGAGGCGGATATCTATGGGACTGGGGAATGGCTGGGTGTGAGGAAAGGGAAGGAAGGAAGAGGGTGGAAGAGGGGGTGCAGGTGGGACTTTGGAGAAGGCCCAGGTCAGGGGCACTCTCATCCCCAGTGGACATGGTTCCCTCCGATCCCATCTCGCCCCCTCCCGTGCCCACTGTGTGGCCGTGGCACCTCTTCTGGGCTGTAGTCCAAAGCCCCTCCTCCCCATGCGTCCCTTCTGACAGGTACTCTGGGTGCCACCCACACAGGATCTGTGGCCCTTTTCTCCTCTCTGGCCATCTCCCCTGTCAGAAATCAGAAGCCCAGAGAAGATAAGGAAGTTGCCTGAGGTCACACAGCAAGTTGAAAAAGAAAGCCAGGTCTCTGGGCCTTGAGCCTGGTGCCCAATCGCTTGCTCCTCTAACTCCCCAGGCCTGGACTGTGAACCGGGAGACCGCCCACGTCTCCCGGGAATGGGTATCAGAGAGCTTCTGCCCCGAGCCTCAAGCCATCCCAAGACCTCTTCTAGCCAGACCCGGCCTTGGGCCACCAGGGTCTCTCTGAGCCTGGTGCACCCGGGCATCACTGTGAACGCAGATGGGACCCGTCCCACAGGAAGGAGGGAGCGGGAGATGGGAAGTCACCTGCAGGTCGGCGGGGATGGTGCAGCATCGGCCATCTGTCCTGGGCTGAGGGCAGGGGCACTTACCCGGAAACTTGACAATCATCTCTGCGGAGCAGACGGAGTGGGGGGCGCAGCGGGCACAGGAGTGGGCGGCTGACGTGAGACAGAACATGCCAGCCCGGCATTCACAGACACGGGGGGAGTTCCACGAACACGGCTTCTTCTCCACAAGATCATCTAAGGGACACAGAGTAGGGTCGCAGAGGACAGAGGGAAGGTGAGGGAAGGGATCCAGAGGACGCCAGGGACAGTCCAGCCCGGGGAGAGGGTGCTGCTGGGGCCTTCCCCTGGGCAGGGCAGCTGGCAAGCTCTGCCCCTCCCAGGGTCTCCTGAGGCGAGGGCAGAGGGCAGGGGGGTCCGTGAGGCAGCCTCCACCTCCCAGCCCACCTCTCTGGCGATCACTCCCAATTTTTAAATGGGCAAAAAAGACATGGAGGGACATTAAACACATATTTTTTTTAAATATGTTTTTATTGATTTTTTTAAGAGACAGAGGAAGGGAGAGAGAGAGAGAAACATGGATGTGAGAGAGAAAGAGATTGGCTGCCTCCTGCATACCCCCTACGGGGGATCAAACCTACAACCCAGGCGTGTGCCCTGACCGGGAATCCAACCAGGTCCTCTCAGTCTATGGGATGACTGATGCTCAGTCCACTGAGCCACACCAGCAGGCTGAACATTTTTAAGTGAAAGAAACCAATCTGTAAAGCCTACATATACAGTGATCCCAACTACTTGACATCTAAAAAAGACATAACTACGGAGACAGTAAAAAGATCAGTAGTTGCCCAGCCAGTGTGCTCAGTGGTTATAGCACTGGTCCACGCACAGAAGAGTTGTGGGTTCGATTCCCATCAAGGGCACATACTTGGGTTGCAGATTTGATCCTCGACCCCTGTTGGAGTCGTGCAGGAGGCAACCAATCAATGTGTCTCTCTCACATCAATATTCTATCTCTTTCTCTCCCCCTCCCCCTCCCTTCCACATTCCCTGAAAATCAATGAAAAAAATATCCTTGAGTGAGGGTTAAAATATATATATATATAATAAATAAAATCAAATAAAAAGATCAGTGTTGCCCGGCCGGCGTGGCTCAGTGGTTGAGCACTGACCCATACACCAAGAAGTCGTCAGTTTGATTCCCGTCAGGGCACATGCCCAGGTTGTGGGCCTGATCCCCAGTGGGAGCATGCAGGAGGCTGCCAATCAATGTTCTCTCTCATCAATGTTTCTATCTGTCTCTCCCTCTCCCTCTCTCTCTAAAATCAATTTTAAAAATTATTTTTAAAAAAAGATCAGCCCTGGCCAGTTTGGCTCACTGGTTGGAGCATCGGCCCACGGACCAGAGAGTCCTGGGTTTGGTTCCCGCTAAGGGCACGTACTTCGGTTGCAGTTTGTCCCCAGCCCTGGTTGGGTTGTGTGGGTGGCAACCACTCGATGTGTCCCTTTCACGTCCATGTTTCTCTCTCTCTATCTCTCCCTCCCGCTCTACCTGAACAAAAAAATGGGAAAATGTCCTCAGGTGAGGATTAAAAAAAAAAAAAAGATCAGTGTTTGCCAGGGTTCAGTAGTAAAGGGTGGGGGAGGGTAACAGCAGAGTACAGGGTTGTGGGGCACCGAGACTATTCCGTATGAAACTGCTACCGTGATCTATGACATTGTGCATTTTACCAAAAACCACAGAACTGCGAACACAAAGAGTGAAGCTGAAGGTAAACCGTGAACTTCAGTGAATAACACACCCGCGGGCTCACTGGCTGCAACAACAGGCCCCACTGACGCAAGGTGTCAATGATGGGGGACACCGCAGCGTGGGGCGCTTTCTGCTCAATCTTTCTTTCTTTTTTTTTTTTATCCTCACCCGAGGACATTTTTCCGTTTTTTGTACAGACAGAGCGGGAGGGAGAGAGAGGAAGAGAGAGAGAGAGAGAGAGAGAGAAACATCGATGTGAAGGGACACATCGAGTGGCTGCCACCCGCACGACCAACCAGGGGCCGGGGACAAACTGCAACCGAGGCACGTGCCCTTAGCGGGAACCGAACCTGGGTCTCTCCGGCGCAGGCGGATGCTCCAACCGCTGAGCCAAACCGGCCAGGCTGCTCAATCTTTCTAGAAATCAAAAACTGTTCTTTAAAAAGGTCTAGTAAGTATTTTTGTTAATGTGCCAAGGATTTGAGAAAATTCTCCCGAGAAGGAATACAAATGGCCAGTAAGCACATGGAAAACTGCTCAACGTCAGTCATTAGGAAAATGCAAATCAAAACCACAATGAGGTACCACTTCATATCCACCAGGATGGCAAGAATCAAAAAGACAGGCAACAACAACAAAAAGACAGGCCACAGCCCTGGCCAGCTTGGCTCAGCGGTTACAGCGTCAGCCTCCAGACCAATGAGCTGCGGGTTCGATTCCGGTCAAGGGCACGTACCTCGGATTGAGGTTCATCCCCTGCCCTGTTCAGGTCGTGCGGGAGGCAACCAGTCAATGTGTCTCTTCCACATCGATGTTTCTCTCTCTCTCTCTCTCTCCCTCCCTCCCCCCGAATCTATCTGAAAATCAATGGAAAAATATACTCGAGTGAGGATTCAAAAAAAAAATAATAAGGTACTAAGTATTAGGAAGTCTGCACATGAAGTCAGAGTGTGAAAACTTATTTTGTTACCTAAAGCACATATATTATTAGGAAGGCAACTAAATATTGTTGCACAATGCAATATTAGCAACTATGTATTTGCTAACCTCCATTACTATAACTGATTATTATTCATCTTATAATAACTATGTCACAATAGATATAAATGAAGTTTTTTTGTTTTTTGGTTTTTTTAGGGAGAGAGAAATAGAAACATTGATTGGCCACCTCCTGTATGCCCCTCACTGGGGATCGAGCCCGCGACCTGGGCATGTGCCCTGACCAGGAATTGAACCAGGACCTCTGAGTCCCTGGGTCAGTGCTCAATCCACTGAGCCACACCAGCTGGGTGAATTTTACTTTTTTCTATTAATAATGTCTGGTAGTTATTAACTACAGAGAGCACTAAGCACAGTGATAACTGACCGGGTTCTCCATACTTGCAGTCTGACCAGCTTTTGAAATCTCATAGACTTTGGTTTTGTGGTGATCTCAGCATTTGCTGAATTAAGCCCTAAGCATTTAAAAAATACCCAACAGAATTACTAAATACATTATGAAAATGGTGAATTTTATCTCAAACAGAAAAAAGTCACTGGTAAAAGGAATGAATGAATGAATGAATACAGGCATCCGTGGAAAACAATAAGGGCTTCCTTGGTCAACAGGAAATGATAAAGACTTCCTCCAATATGGAAGGTGGCTGGGATTGAATGGAAGATGGAGACCACAGCCCAAAATATACCCAAGAGGACTGCCCCGGGAGAGGCTCCAGGTGCTCCAGTCTCCGAGCGGGTGCACAGCAGGGGCGGGCCCCAGGGAGTACACAGAGCATCCAGGTGCTCCAGTCTCCGAGCAGGTGCACAGCAGGGGCGGGCCCCAGGGAGTACACAGAGCATCCAGGTGCTCCAGTCTCCGAGCAGGTGCACAGCAGGGGCGGGCCCCAGGGAGTACACAGAGCATCCAGGTGCTCCAGTCTCCCAGCAGGTGCACAGCAGGGGCGGGCCCCAGGGAGTACACAGAGCATCCAGGTGCTCCAGTCTCCGAGCAGGTGCACAGCAGGGGCGGGCCCCAGGGAGTACACAGAGCATCCAGGTGCTCCAGTCTCCCAGCAGGTGCACAGCAGGGGCGGGCCCCAGGGAGTACACAGAGCATCCAGGTGCTCCAGTCTCCAAGTGGGTGCACAGCAGGGGCGGGCCCCAGGGAGTCTGACAGGGAGTACACAGAGCATCCAGGTGGGCCAGTCTCCCCAGACCCCTTGTCCGCTTACACCAAGAAGTAGAAGCCAAGCATCTCCCCAAGGAGACTCCTGGGGGAGGTGAGCTGGGCGGTGCCCAGGGGCTGGTCAGACCCGGGAGGAAAGGATTCTACGGACCCAGGAGACCAGCCACTGGCAGGCCCTGCCCCACCCACCTACTCCCAGCCCCCGGAGGTGGGCTCCCCCCACGAGTCACAAGATACTATGTGCAGAACCAGAAGTCACCAAACACGAGAGAAAACCAGTACTAAGAAAAAAAAGAGCCCCCAGCCCTAGCCAATTTGGCTCAGCAGTTAGAACGACTGCTGAGTGTGACTGTGGGTTTGATTCCTAGCTAGAGCATGTACCTGGGTTGCAGGTTCAATCCCCAGCCCTGGTCTGGGTCATGCAGGAGGCAACCAGTCGATGTGTCCCTCTCACATCGATGTTTCTCTCTCTCTCTCCTCCGTTCCCTCCCTTCTACTCTGTCTAAAAATCAATAGAAAAAATATCCTCATTTTAGAATTAAAAAAAGGAAGAGCCCCAAACTCAAAAAAACACTAATGATTGAGGAAGCAGATAAAAGAGAAAGCAGCCTTTAGAATCAGTACAACTGATACTCTCAGAGATGCCAAAGGAAATCGCAGCTATGAAAAGGAGTCCCCCCACCTACCCTCACGCACTGTTGGTGAGATTGTAAATTGGTGAAGCCACGATGGAAAACAGTATAGAGGTTCCTCAAAAAGTTAAAAAGAAAACTACCTTATGACCCAGCAATTCCACTTCTGGGTATTTACTCGAAGAAATCCAAAACACTATTGAAAAGATATATGACCCCTTTGTTCACGGCAGCGTTATTTCCAATAGCCAGATATGGAAGCAACCTAAGCATCCATCGATAGACAAATGGATAAATAACATATATATATAATGGAATATTACTCAGCTGTAAAAAAGAACAAAATCTTGCCATTTGTAACAACATAGACGGCCCTAGAGGGCATTATGCTAAGTGAAATAAGGTCAGTGAGAGAAAGAAAAATACCATATGATTTCACTTATATGTGGAATCTAAAGAACAATATAAATAAACAAACAAAACAGAATTAGACTCATAGAAAAGAAATTGATGGTTGCCAGATGGGTTGGGGGGCCGATGAAAAAGGTGAAGGTATTAAGAAGTGCAAATTGTCCCTGGCCAGTTTGGCTCAGCGGTTAGAGCGTCGGCCTGCGGTTCAGAGAGACCCGGGTTCGGTTCCCGCTAAGGGCATGTACCTCGGTTGCAGTTTGTCCCCGGCCCTGGTTGG